GAAGAGCGCTCGATGTGAGATTCTATCAAATCCTCGTCTTCGTCAGGCATGCATTTGATAACGTATTGAACAACGTACTTTATTGGTATTGGATCTTTCGCAAGCATCGACAAAAACTGACATGCAATCATCATGACCTCATCTTCTGTGACCACTCTGTCTAAAGCCATCTTCACAGCTGTTGTCATCGATTGTGAATAGACCTGACTGCATGTATCGAGGTAGGGTTTTTCAGTTCGTTCACGTTTTCCTTCTTTGATCTTTGCCAGACAGTTGGACCAATTTTTATTGCGGATGAACTTCATGTAGACTGCAGTGCAGGCAAGGGCTAGTGGTTGATAATCAAGGGCTTTTGCAATTTCAAACACCACGTCTTTATCTTGAAATTGCTGTGAGATGGAGCAAAGAGCATTAACGGCGTCATCAGGCTTCATTCCTTCACTTAGAGTTTYGTGGTAGATTTTAGKACTTGCTAGAGGAATTGATGGCCCGTCTTGTGTAGTCACCAAGACCTGTGCCTTTGCAGTTACTTTTTCCCCTAAATGAGGGAAAAAGTTCGAGGACTTTTTTAGATCGATCACGTTATCCACTATTATCAACCACGATGGAAATAAGTTTAACTTGGTATTGATCCATCCAATCAACATCAAAATTTTGTCCTCTGATTGGGAATGTGTCTTCGATGATAGAATATTTTGAATGTATTCTTCATCTACTCGCAGCTGATGAGCAAAGTCGATGTACGATCCTAGTAATGACTCCAAACTTGATGCATTAAGTGTAGCAACGAAAGTCTTCGACGAAGCACTCTCAGTTTCATCAAAAAATTTCTCTCCGATTTGTCTTGCTGTTTCACTTTTTCCACAGCCTGGATTTCCTGACAAGTAGACATGTGTCACCTCGTTTGGATGGCGGCTTTGCAAAGTTTTCATCTCTTTCATTATTATGTCTACTTCACTCGAGCGTGGGATGACTTCATGTGATGGCTTTGGTGGCAAATCACAAAATGTCTGTGGCTCCTGGTTGCGTCTTTTCTCTTTAGCCAACTGTWCCTGGATTTTCTCAAGCTCCTCCGTTTGAAAACTTGTTTGGGATTTCATATTTTGGATGGCAATTGTGTCAAGTTTCAAATCATGGAAAGCGTTGATTACATCTTGTACTGAAGCCTGGAAATCTGCATCAGTAACTTTGCATTTAGGTGTGTGGGCAAATTTATTTCGATACTGTCTCAGGTCATCAACAGCTTTCTTTACCTTTGGGTCAAGCTTATTCTTTCCAATACACTTAGAGTAAAGTATTGCATAAAACAGACACGTACAGTCCCATTCCATAGTGTTCCCATTTCTAATGATAGAAAGTTCTTTTGCTTTCGTCTTTTGCTCTTTTGTTGGTGTCAGGCTGTAGAAATCAATTCCATTTTTTGCAGTGTCATTCCATTCACCATGCGATGTCTTATAGCGAGCATCCCATTCTTGTTTGAACACTTTACGAAGGCCATCAGTCACGTGAGCTGTCACGTGACAAATCCGAAAATAGTTCAATTGTTCTTTGCTAAACTTATCAGGACTTGCCATAGCCATCTACATAGGTTTAAAATTGCAAGTTAGAAAATCAATTTGCGTTTTGTGTCTATTTTTTTGGATAGTATTTCACTCGATTACTGTTACCAACCATCAACAACTAGCTAGCTGACTAGAGAATTGTGACGCCATGAAAACATTGTTTGTTTTTTTATTAAAAGCAAGCATCAAATCAACTTTGTTGACTTTGAGAAAAGTCTGTCAAGATATGGCATATTGATTCATACCTGTTTAATTTGGTGAATTTGCTTCTGGGCATATTCGTCTGGAAATTACATACTTAGCATCAACAGGCCTTGAAATACAAGAGGTCGCATCTCTTAAACTGAGCTTTAAAAACCAGCAGAAATTGAAATCATGTAGCGGAATTCCACTAACCTCTTTTAATAAAGTGATAACCTTGTCGTCCCCATCAGCGACGCGATCAGCAAATTCGGTTTGGATAAGATAGCGGTTAAGTCAATGCAAGGMTGGATTTATTTCCTCAAACTGAAATCAAATATTTTCCCCAATGAACAGCTTGATTCCCTATTATTTAAAAGTGCCAATCGATACTCAACTCAAAAATTTCATGATTGATGCCAAATTGACGACATCACACCGTGATCCCATATCATAGCAAACGCTGCGCAATAAGAAATGCAAAATAATAAGACAAAGTAACTCGAAGTATTACCCTAACTGTCTTTCATGTCGCGAGGATTAAGTTACAGTTGTCTGTATAAAGCCAAGCCTGCTAGGCGTAAAAACAAACSTCTCGGCTCGAAACCATAGTAAGCAAAAGAATAAAGGACAAACATCTGGAACCAGGGTATGGGAATACATTCCAAACATTCAAATATTGATAGAGACGAACATATTTAGTTGTACTTGAAATTGAGTCAAGATTTAGTTGCTCTGTCTTCAGCTAGTTTAACTTTGATTTTGCCGGTATTTCGTTTGAAATTTGGTTGAAAAAATTGTAACTAATTAAAGCTTCAGAAAAGTAACTGTCACATTGCTTTGCAGAAAGTGTATATCTAAAGATATTAAGTAAAATACTTTTAGCAAGTCTTAGTTATCAGCTGAAGGATTGACAACTTACCTAAAATCTTCTAACAATTTCTGCTCTTGAGCTACATGATTTGGGTGAGTTTTGTCTCTTTGTTTCAGCTTTCCGTTAGGTGTGAATAATCTAAAACAAAACATATTCCACTGATAAGTAATAAATTCAAGTATCACAAGGTCATTCTTGACATTCTTGTATTTTTTCATTAAGTTCAACATCTGTGACAGCTTGTATCAGCTCACCTTGAGAACAGTTCACATTTTAGGCTTTCATTACGTATAGTATTAATTCTTGATCATCAGAGGTGGTTATTATGATGAATGCTAAAAGACAAACACTGAAATCACTTAGCCTCCTCCACAGGCAACTCTTTTTTCCTCCTTTGGGCTTCCTTTGTAACGGTCATTTTGACCGTTAGGGACTAGTGACGAGATAGCAAAAAGACAGGAAGCCCGTGATTCTTAGTGATGCCTGCGGAGGAGGCTAGAAATCACTGTTGATATCAACACTTGGACAACCTTTGTTCTGATTGGTTCGGCGATGAAGTTCTGACATTGCATTCCTATCTCACTATAACGTCGCATATGTGCAACAGGAAGCCCAAATGTTATAAATGTACGCACATCGTTTCTTTTCTTTTTTCTTTTTTTTTTTTTTTTTGATTCCTCTTACTAGTAAGTTGCTCCATGTACAAAAACTTCAATAAGAATATAAGTGTTTCTTTAAACATTACATTATAAATTGTTAAATCATCCAGACATGGTATGGTGTTACTCTGTCTGTGTTTGTTGTATACATGACCTTTCAGGTGAAATCACAGGTAGCCCAAAAACCGCTTTTAGTAATTTTGCGAAATATGTTAAGTTTGATAAAAATAAACATCTCGACCTATTTACTGTGGTTTTCTTTGTATTCCTGTTGAGTTTKAGGCAATTTTGAGCTATCTTCTTTTTAGAGCGAATGATAATAGCGATAAATGGCTCAAAATAGCTCAAAATGGTGATGACCCCTGCTGTGGAGTAGGCAAGCCGTCGCAAAATAACAAGGAATGACCGGGAAATCGATGTCAAATAATTCTCGCTGAATTCAAATTCGGAAAGAGTTATTAATACTCCATTTTCGAATTCAAAGCGAACAACCGCTGCTTTATTTGACAGCAGACTCTCTTGCGAAACGYCCTTTACCAAACGCAAAAGAAAGCACGAGAAAGTGTCGTTATTAGAATAGCCTTGAAAATTTTCTCCTAGTTGAGACTAACCCTGTATTCCCATGAGACCTAAGGTTTAAGCCTTCTGGGAATACAGGGTTAGCCTCAACTCGGGGAAAATGTAAATTGTTGGCGCTATTGTACTTACAACATTTTCTTGTGCTTTCTTTTATTTTTGTAGTTTCTTTGCGTGTCAAATAAAACAGCGGTTATTTGCTTTGAATTMGAAGATGGAGTATTGCAAACGTTAGATAGGGCAAAAAGGACTTTAACTGGCCAAATTTGAAGGACGTACTTGATGTAGGGAGCGAGTAAACTCATTTTTAGTTCTCCATACATTTCTCTGGAATTTCCGGAGTCATCGGCGAGTGACTGGCGTGAAAAATACAAAGAAATGTATTGAGAAATAAAGATGAATTTACTCGCTCCCGAGATGAAGTACGTCCTTCAAATTTGGCCAGTTAACTCCTTTTTGTAGCATCTACCGTTTGCTATTGATAATTCTTTCCGAATTTTAATTTCTTTTCGTTTCGTTGACACAGATTCACACTTTGTTTCGTTTTAAATACAGATTCCCGTTATGTTTCGTTTCGTTTCGTCGACTATAGTAAGCCAGCACATGCAATTTTCAACACGTTGAGTGGCACGAGTTAACCCTGATGTCAGGGTCTAGTTTATTGAAAACATGCAAAATTCCCTGATATTTGACTAATGTAACCTGAAAGGTCATGTAAACAACAGATACAGTAACCACCGTACCATTTCTGGTGAATTTAACAATTTTTAATGCCTATGGCTATAGTCCGACTAAAAACAATCTTTCGCAACATCTTACCTTTATGAAACTGACTTGATCCTACGATTTAGTATATTTAGCAGAATGGTTCCAGATTATTGATTACGGACCTTTATCGATTCGAAGGATAGGCACCGATTACATAGTCTGATTGGAATATTGCTGATCACGCTGCATTTGGGGGAATTTCCCTCCTTTAACAAAGGAACACACAGTTGGCGTAGTACACTAGTCTATTAAAAAAGGGATATTCTTGATCATTTCTCCATATTGAATGTAATAAGAACGATAAGACTCGATATGAAGCACGATGCTTTTATGACCACATCGATTTTATTTTTGAGTTATTCGCAGTTTAAAAATATCTCATATAAACTCATAACCATGACCCAAAATCTTCTCGATATCTTGCAACCGTTAGCTGTAACAATACGTAGCTGATGGTATGATCCTTCTGCTCCGGTTTTGCCGATTATTCGCAAACGGTGAGCATGTATTCAAACTTTAAGCTACCGTACAAAAAAACAACAACAAAAGACTCCGACTGAGGTCACAAAAACATCGAATTAGAAGCAATTCTTACAGATCATTACAAGGATCTTATAACATCTTACCTTCAGGAAAAGCTATTTTCTTCTATAATTGTGTTAGTTTATGTGGCAGAATGTATCCAGATTCTTGAGTCTCGGGATTTATTGAACTGAACCAACTTGCTATACACAGATGAAGCACTGACATCGGATGCTTACATTGCTTCCTGTCTGAAGCTTCGGGCCGTACGAGTCACGTGACATTTAGGGGTTTCCCCTTAGGGACAATGTTCAAAGTCTATTTCATTTTATAACCTTTCATTTATAGTGTCAACTCTTTACATCGATTCTCTATATCAAACTAGATATCAATTAAAACAAACTTCAACTGAAATTAAGAAATGTTTAATATCACTTCTTTTACTATTTTTACAATCCAGTACACTAAGCATTTTGATTTTCAGTCATAGGACTTTTATAATAGATGAGGCGACGTGTTTGGAGGCCATCTTGGCCGGTAGGCATAGTGTCGCAAAATAAAAAGCATAGACCGGGAAATCGATGTCAAATAATTTTCCGCTGAATTCAAAAGAGTTATCATTTGCAAACGTTAGGGTGCAAAGGAGTTAACCGAGCGTACTTGTTCTAGGGAGCGAGTAAACTCATTTTAGTTCTGTTCTGTTAAATGCATTGAGAACTAAAAATACATTTACTCGCTCCCTAGATGAATTACATCTTTCAGGTTTTGCCAGGTAACTCCTTTTTGTAGTATCTAACGTTTGCAATTGACATTCTATCCGAATTTGAATTTAGTGAGAATTATTTGACATAGATTTCCCGGTCAATCCTGGCTATTTTGCGGCTCTTTGCCTAAAAGTCCAAGATGGCCGCCAAAAACCGTCACCTCATCTATTGTTTAAAGTGCATATATCGGTTCAGCAATTTTTCTTTCAAATGAAAGTTTGGACATTAAAAATCACATAATTAAAGAAAATTTTRCGATACTATATAAATTTCGTATATTTTTAAGCTTTCAAACTGCGGAATCAGCTGATAAAAGTCGAGCGTTATGGAGGCCTGGTACTAGTCCGTCCAGTGACGTCATTCACGGAACAAGCTTACGGTAAACAACACTAAACTTCACAGAACTGATCTTTAAAACGACTGATTTTTCTTGAAAAAAGAYATGTCTGATTGCAGCAGTGAATGTAGAGACTCTTGTTACATTTCTGAGTAATTATGAAGTTGAATCTGAAACCCGATCAATGCGCAAAATGACCACTTTATCGAAGACGATTTTGAAGCATCCTGAAGCATATCGCGACATGAACGCTTTAAAGTACAGCGACGAACCGATTACAGATGAAGCGTGGCTGGCTGAGTATCAATATAAAAAGGTTTTATATGCGGACGGGCAAACTTCGCCAATGTTGTCGAGAAATGTAGTTACACGAACTTTCTCTTAGTATTTTAAACACAGTGTGTGAAGATGCCCGGCAGCCGGTCACGGTGCTTAAAATAACTCGGTGCACGGCAGTCCAAARTTTCAGAAATTTYTTCAAATCACGGTCAAATGACTGTTTGCGTTGAAACCACACAAGGGAAAGTTTGTTTAGAAATACTAAGCGCTCCTTTTAAGCAGTCTTACTTTGTATAAAGCTCGCTGGTCTTTGCTGGGCATATTATACAAAACACCTTTGCCGTGGCACTTTTTTCCGTCGAAAACGCTCTACTCGGAGTCTATCTGTGACTTGATAACAAACTCGTGCATAAAAATCAAGTTAAAAGAGGTTGATTTTCTTGTTTAGCGTGACTATTATTATTTAAGTATAAAAAAGTTTCATATGCGGACAGTCAAACTTTGCGAATGTTGAGAAAAGCAGTTACTCGAACTTTCTCTGTAAAAAAGGGTTATTCGGACGAGCAAACTTCGCCAAAAATTGAGTAGCTACGCGATCATATCCTGCATTATAAGGCAAAGTGTATGAATATGGACGGACAAACTGTATTATTATAAAAGGCTTCATTCAAACTTTTATGTAAAGAAGAGTTTCCCGTGTTTTCCTCTAATTACTCACAAATGTTTTTGCAAAGTTCGCTAACTAGCGCTTATGTGTATGTCTCGTCTCTTTCGGCGTCGAATTGCCTCTTGTCGCTGGTCGCCGTAATACTGAATTTTGTGCTAGGAAATATAGCGTTTTCACGACTGTTTATGTTACCACAACTTTTGACTACTGCTATCGGGCATTTTGGAAGAGGAATCGTATTCTTAAGTACGGAATTAAATAGAATTTTGATAGGTTTTTGACTGGAAAATGACTGGAAACAATATTGTTCTGGGTGACGAGTTCCGTGAATGATGTCATGAAATGTTAGTTACCAGACTTCTGCATTGCTCCAAAATTTTGGCACAGGAGGCCCAAAACAGGCATTTTTAGCACTTTTAGGCCTTAAAAAATAACACTAAAAAATTTTTTTTTCGAGTTTAACCCACCAAACATAATTCATGACAGTCTAAACTTATATTTACCAAAATTGCTGAACCGATATATACACTTTAACCAATAACAATAAACAGGAGTCATGCATATTTTATCCTGAAGTTTTTTKCGAAATATGCTTTACCTTATGTTGGAATTTGATAAGCAATATAAAATATTCGCGTCCGACCTTTATGGGCTATAAAACTGCTCGCTTGCAGCTCGCAGTTTTAAATGCCCATAAAGGTCTCCCGCTCATATTTTATATATTACATGGAACACCTGGAGAAGCATCAGACAATACTGAGCCAAAACCATTGTAAAAAAAGGCGCTTAAAAAGCGCTTGTGGCTACTCCAAAAACTGCTTGTTATGAATATTTTTAGATTTTAATGTTTTACTATGTGTAGGAAAGAATATTTAAGTAATTTAAGTTGAAGATCTGATATTTTGGGAATTGCTTGGGAATTGCTTGTAATGTGTTGCTGTCAGGGCAGACATTCACCTARTTGGAAAAACCGTATAATAGAGAAAGAGCAAATTTAGCATAAGTTTGGAAATGTTTTATTTTGGAAATAGGTGGAAATGGAAAAGGTGGCGGAAATGTTCTATTTTTTTCCAATTTTGCGTACAGAAATGATAAAGCACTATTGACTTTGTCAATATCAAAAATAGGCTTATTTTGATGTAAGGCATGTTACAGTGTTACAATTTTGGTGTTGGTATTAAATTTTACATTTTATTGTAAATCTATAAACATATTCTTAATGATGTTTGGTTCAAGGTCCAATAATTTTTCTGACAAAAACTCAGTTGTCTTCAATAATT